CTCTGCATTAAATGTTATATGGTTGTTTATTATTTTATGCATTTAACAATCTTAAGTGCATTGCCTGTAGAAAAACTGTTTTTGGTGGACAACCATTCAAACCAGACTACAACAATATACCCTGTGCTGTGTTTAGGTAATGTTTGTACCTTTTGGAGTATGCCTCATGATTTTATTTGATTATTGAAGATTTCCCAAAACAGGAGCAAATATTTATTTGTCAGTTCTAATGGACAGGTGTCACTTATGCAGTGGAGCTAATATGATCCTTGCTGGAAAGGAGGAACAAGGGTTCACTACTGCTGAGGGTATTTTCATTGCAGGCTGGTCAGAGGAGAGCTATGGGTAAGTATTTTGCATAACAATCTTTGGTAACTGTTTCTAACTGTAGCTTCATTAGATACTTCTCGTCCTTCTATAGTTAGAATATGCATAAAGATTGGTAATAAAAATCACTAACATGTTGACCATACAACTTATCACGATTAGTTGCTTGCACAAATTTTTGCCATGTCGATAAGGATACCACAGCTTCTTTATTTGATTTTCCATGGATGTTTGAACTCTTCTAGGGGTAAAAGTTTACAATTGTGGTGATTGCTATTGGTAAGAATTGCATAATAACAACCATAATGGGACTGCCACAAAGCAGCCACTAGGTCCAAGGTTTTGCAAGTCATTTAGGGGGGGGGGTGTTGAATTGACACAACGCTGAAGGGAGATGTGGGTAAGAATTACATAGTAATAACCATGATGGGACTGCCACAAAGCAGTCACTGGGTCCAAGGTTTTGCAAGTCTTTCTGCAGGGTGGGGCCCCCGGGGGGGGGTGGTTTGAATTGACACAAGGCTGATCCATATCTCTCCCGAGTGTAAATTGATCAGTGTAGCAAAGATAATGCTTTTGTAGAGTGTAAATTGATCGATGTAGTGAAGATATACATAATATGTTATTTTTAAGATGTAAAAATTTTTTTTTTTTGAACATCGGGAATTGGGGGAAATGGGGGAGGGGGAATGGGGCTAAGGGATTTGAACCCCGACGGCATGCGTAGAACACGCATGCAGTGGCCAGTACAGCCACGCACCAGGGTTCTTTTAAGATGTTATAATTGTATAATTATATTTTATAAATATGTATTACTCATAAAATTACTTAATTTAAAATATTTATTTTTATTCAAAAATATTTAAAAGATAAAGTAAGATAAAGAAAATAAAAATATGTGAAGGAACATATTTTTTTGAGTAAATAGACATGTTATATTTACAGGACTTATAGTCATGTAACTCTTATTTATAGGTTAATAATAGAAATAAATTAGATAATTATTATGAAATAATATATTTTTAAATAAAATAATTAATTTAAAAAGTTAATTTAACCATGATTTTAATAAAATAATAAAT